TTACGATCGTGAACAATTTTGAATCCGAGTAGTTATGGGAAATACATATTTTAAGGTCTTCTGAGTAAAACAAAACAAGGTTTTTACTGATTGTTTTCGAAAGCTAAGTCGGAATGATCATTAACCAGATATATTCAGTTAAAACGCCCAAACAATATAATAAAGATAATTGGATGATTGGAATTATTCCTGATCTCTTTGTAGCTCTTTAAATCTAATTTTTTGTTCTTTTGTAGAAAACAATTACGGTGTAATTCCATAAGGTGGATATATGTTATCGTACCAGTAAGATAAAGTGTGCTTGGGAATATAAGATCCTTATAAGAAATTGTATGCTAAACAAAAAATATTCTAACAAAATGGAGTCGCTTATCAATTCGCAAATTTTAAAAATTAAAAATGGTAAAGATAAACAAAACAACTGAAACTGAACAGGCAAAGATAGTTTTTATGTCGCCGGAAGCATGTACTTAATCCGAGATAGCAAATACTATGAAGTGCTCTTGTTGTGGTGTTCAATATACGCATATTCGGCACAGGTCGTTAGCACATGTTCCTCATTACCTGGACCAGGTAGAAAGATAATAACAGGAGTACGTGAAGAAAGGTTTTTGGTAAGAACATCTCTTCAGAATTGCAAGAAAACATCGCAACAGCTTGACAATGAGATGAAAACCTCGTTTTTTGCCTGGACTATAAGAATAAGACTGGTAGAAAAGGGTCTGAAAGGCTGTAAGGTCAGGAAGAAAGGGTCTGAAAGGCTGTAAGGTCGGGAAGAAAGGGTCTGAAAGGCTGTAAGGTCGGGAAGAAAGGGTCTGAAAGGCTGTAAGGTCAGGAAGAAACCATGGCTTAGTGAAGGCCAAAACTGGAGTGATGAAGATTGAGCAAAGGTGGTTTGGTCTGAGGAAAGTAATTTTGAGGTAATTAAATTATAGTATATTGAAATTAAAAATTGCAAACACCCTCAAATAAACTTAATATACATAAACATAGTCAATTTTTAAAATTCATTAAAGTGTCAAATTTTTCACTGTTTTTTGGAACTCCTGGTTCCGTTTTCGTACTAAGAAGGTAAGCGGAAGCCTATCACCCAGATTGTGTTGTTACTGTAAAACACGGTTGGGGAAATATAATGATTTGGGGCTGTATATGGCCTTTAGGTGCTGAAGAAATGTTTTTCTTCAGCTATGCTAAATCTAACTGCTAAATCAAACTTTGAAGCCTTCATTTAAAAAAATATTTGTATTTGATGGCAAAGGAAACATTATTTTTCAAGAGAATAATGCGCCATGTTTCAAGCAAAAGTAAAGAAATGTTTGAAATAATGCAATTTTAAGGCACTTGACGGGCCTCCTCAGACCTCAGACATCATTCCGATTGCTCATTTATGGTCTAAATTAAAAATTGCTGGTGGTAAACATAACCCAACAAAGAAAGACAACGTATTTTCATTTTGAAAATCAGAGTGGGAAAAAATACACAAAGAAGATTGTCCAAGATTTATTAATTCAATACAAAAAAGGATAAGTGAGGCCATTAAAGTCTAAGGCAGAATATTAATTTGACTTTTTTTGTATTTAAATAAAGATATGAGATAAAAGTAGATGTTATTTTTATCTCCTTTGGCTTTGTTTTAATAAAATATGTGGGTGCCTAATACTTTTGGTCAAGGTTGTATGTACAGTGGCGTAGCTACTGCGCACCAATGCAAGCGGTTTCTTGTTTGTCCCCCTCCTCTTTCCTCTCCCTTCACCACTTACTCCTAAAAAATATCAACCTACACCAGGGTACTCAAATTCACAACATTTTTCAAATCCTCTTTTGAACATACCTAATAGAGGACAATTATTCATAAAAATCCTTTTTATGAAGTAAATATTTTTATACACAACTAGAATGAGAACCATATTAGTTATATTTACTTCAAGTTATGATGATATTATATATATAAAGATAATCTTACAGAATATAACAATAAACACTGATAAATTTTCGTAATATTCGTCTTTGAAATATGGCATTTACCTTCACATGAACGTAATATTAATCGAGCGATTGATCGTGGGTATATTAGGTTTCGACGATCAAGCATACGTAATATTTTGAGTTGTATGGTTGCAGTAGATTCATCTGAGCTAAATATTTATAATAATTAACAACTTGCATAATAAATATTCAAAAAGTTGTTTTGAAATTAAACTTTGACTAAACCATTTCTGATAAAATCGTTCACAACAAATAAACATATAATTATTTAAATCCTTTTTTTCTTCTCTCATTTCGTTGAATATTTTTTCAGTATGTCCATTTATACACTGCGCCTCTAAAGGTTTTTAGCTCCTACGCGTCACATCAGTTGTACTGAAGTTATCTACGTCACTGATCATGCACCTCTCAGATCACTCGAACAATCACAACCCAGAAACCACAAAATGGTGAGGTATAAGTATCTATATATTAACTTCATAAGTATTATCTCTATCAGAAAATAAAAATTAGAGACTGTAGCAAGGTGCTACTTTTTTTCTAGAATTGCTGCTCTTTAGTTTTGTAAATTTTAAATTTCAGTTGTCAACTGGAGACGAGATGTTATGATTGGGGTATTCATAAACTTGTTGCCCTGCCTTTCTAAAATTTTACTTGTAAAAATTAAGAAATAAGAAGAAAAACAGATCAAATCTCTGCCAGCGCTGTGTATTTTTCTTCTTGGACTTGAAAGAAGTGAGCAGCAGGCTATCCATATCTCTCATTAGAAGCAATTACGGAGTAGCTTCCTCACTGACTAATGGATCAGAGGTAGGAATGATGACCCTACATCATGTACTTTGATCGAGAACCTAATGTTAGTAGCCATTCGGAGGGTTGGTTCATGGTCGATGTTATTCAGAGAAAGAACTGTAGATCCCCATACTCCTACTGACTATGAGCAGCAATAATCCATGGATCTATACCTCAATGCTTATTACGTTGTCTGATCAGTATAATTAAAAGATCAGCTAACAGATATTAATTGCGAAATGCTATCTGTATTCTCGCGAGTAATATACGTCTTTAATACCACCTTGTTTGGCCAAAGACCTACAAGGTCTATGGGCTTATCGGGAAAAAAATATTTATATATAAATTCTACAATTCGCAATGCTTATTACGTTGTCTGATCAGTATAATTAAAAGATCAGCTGACAGATATTAATTGCGAAATGCTATCTGTATTCTCGCAAGTAATATACGTCTTTAATACCACGTCGTTTGGCCAAAGACCTACAAGGTCTATAGGCTTAACGGAAAAAATATATTTATATATAAATTCTACAATCCGCAATGCCTATTACGTCATCTGATCAGTATAATTAAAAGATCAGCTAACAGATATTAATTGCGAAATGTTTTCTGATCTTATACACGTCACATAAATTGATATATTACGATAATATATTTTAATAATATCCGTAAAACACGAGGAAAACAGTATCAAGATATTTCATTTATGATCTGTGAAAGGATTATAGTGGATAATTTCATTTGAGAGAGATTAAAACAAATTATAAATGGCTTAGCAGATTATTTTGCATTTATCTATTTGCCATGACCTATTTTCTATGATATCTGTGAATGCACGTTTATTACTTCACTTTGAAATACCTTCCATAGAAGTCTTCCAAACCACTCTTAATTAACAGCCATGAAGATCTAATCCAAGAATAACTTCAAAATGAAGAAAACTTAAAATTTAGATTCTATTTTAAATGTTTAAAAAATCAATAGTTTACAGTCTTGTATGTTTTATTACTTATTGTACGCCTTTCTGGAATTCCAATATGACTCCTCAACGTTTACTAAGATTTTTTTTTATGAAACTTAGGATAAATCATAGGTCCGTTCCATAGGCATTAATGCCCTATGGAACAATGCACGACCCCCCCTTCAATAATTGAAATGGTCCCATTCGTTCCCACCAATATTTTGCATTTAGGGTCATATACGAGCATGACATAACTTAAAATCATATAAATTTCTAATAAAAGTGCATAAAAATAATGAAGACGACTATTATCACAGACGTCTTTTCTAGTCTTTTCTTCGTACACATTACCCGAACATGTGCAGGTAAAAATGGATTTGTGGTAGGCTTGCTTATAATCTAGAGATAGGACAGATCTTAGTTAATTTACTAATTGAAGAATTAAAAATTCATAAATACACATTTCCTTCCGCTTGCATCGTAAGATAATTTGACCGCAAAATCGAAAAATAAATATGGCCTACAAGAATATTGGGCCATTTGGTGTATATAACCTCGTTATTTTGACATGTTGGGGGATGGATATCACGCTAAAGGGTCCAATACTTCTGTAGACCACCTTATTTCTTTGATCTTGTGATCAAATTATGTTACGATTCAACCGAAATGCAAATGGGTGTTGTTTATGAGTTCTTGTACATAATTAAATAGACAAAATTTGCCGACCTTCAGATTGAAAACGCAGCAATTCCTAGAACTTTCGTAAATATAAAAGTTGCAGGTAACGAGGAAATGAAGTTATAGTTGCCGTCACTGACACATAAACTATATTATGTCTGAAACACCACCGAATGACATCAACTTCGTTATATTTTCTGCTAATATGCATATAGTATACATCTTCGATATTTTTCAAATTTTTTTCCAAAACATAACATAGTAATGTTTTATTTTTATTTTACGGAGTGACTTTTATGCGAACAGACAATCTGGGAGGAGATCGACATGACTTAGCATGCCTAAAGTAACGAATTTAATGGCTTCTAACCACGAGCTTTTATTAAACACCATAAGTTCTGTCACGTCAAATTCTGGTCTGCCTAGATAATTAAAATTTTAAAACTAATTGATTTTTTTTATAACAAGAAGGTTATGAAAAATAAGTTCATTGTAAATACAAACTTTGTTTTATTAGAGATTTCATCTACTTCTATGCCATTTTGAGTTAACGCTCCTGATGGACGTGGTACATTTGTTTGTTGATTATTGTTTTCTATTTGACATTTAAGAATGCTTTAATTTTTTGTTTGTACTGATCAATAGAGCATAAGGATTTTTATATTTAAGTTGATCATTACATTAAAATGACAGGTATATTTATTAAAATAAAGTGTTTATTAATTACCAATTTTAGATTTATTATGCCAGTCATTTTAAGTAAATTTCCAGTTTAAAATTTATCTAAAGTGAATTTAGTCTGTTTATCGAGTATAAACTTTTTTAATTTCTATATAATTTCTTCTGTCAAATTTCAAGCAAAAATTTGTTAACTTATTCACACTAGGTACATATTATTCATAGCTAGGTACTGAAATGTAATGTCATTTTCCTAAAACTAGTTGTTATTTTGTTGGATATATAATAGCAATAATTAAAAGTGTGATTCCTCAATTAATAAAACTTATAAAAAATAAAATATTTAATACATTTATTGTATTTTCCTCACTTGAAACTCATCTCTAACTCTCTTTTACCTCCCTCTCTACTTATAGTTGCCACTTTTCAGTCCTTCATATCAGACAGATTTTTGATATGAGAAATACCATATCTCCATCTCAACTTAAATTTCCCTATTCATCCATTCATTTTCAGCTATTATAAGATTTTATTTGAAAGTCCATCCTTACCTACGGTCTATTCTATCACAATCCGACTAAATAAGTTTATTTGGAAGTATCAGGCTCCTTTTATAAGATGTTTAGTCTGGTATGTCCGCCATCTTTCCGTCCCATCATTTATTCCTTCATACATAATTTTAAGGATCTTCCTTTTGTTAACATAGAGGACTTGTTCATTGGTTTAATACATTTTCAGAAACTAAAAATATGGTTCATTATGTGTTGGTATTATTGAAAACAGTTAATATAACAGAGTTTGTTTTTTTTATTTTAGAAGTGATGTATGACTGGTTGGTCTGATTTTGTTCTGGAATTATTCTTTTAGTTTCTGGTTTTGGCAACTAAATCTCTCTCATTCATTGTTTTCATCTTTTTTTTTTTTTCTTTCTGTTGTCAAGGTATTTTAACTGTGTTTCTTAGAATTGAGGTTTTTATTTTATTTTCTCATCAATTTTGGTGCCCTGTAATAATTATGGTGGATCAAATACCATTGATCTGAATCTTATTTGTTCTGATAAGTAATGCTTGAAAATTATTTAATCAGCTGACATAGCTGTTGTTATAGTGATTTTTCTGCAACTAACAATCAGTACATTTTTAAGCCTTAAATGTTAACGGGTGAATGAATTATCACTAACTTGTTTAAAAATAATTATTAAAAAGTAATCTAACTGCCGACGAGGTGCCAATGTATCTTCCACGCTGCTCCCATTTTAGTAGTCAAACAATTATTTTTAAAAGTTTGAAACATATTAGTACATATATGCAGTCAAATTAAGAAATATAACATGCAATCAATTAGTGATGATAAAATATTTATTATCACATATTTATTATAATATAAAATTAAAAAATATTTTATATTTTACAATATGTGGATATTTTCATTATTTGCATTTTACATATTTAAGATTTTTATATTATTTTAAAATTTATTTTAACTTCAATGAACAAAATTTTTATTTTGAACATGGCAAATATATACATTCTAAAATAGTTTTCTGTGAAACTGTTAATCGTTTGTTTATTAATAAATATTTATACACAGAATAGAATTTCTCTACACCTTCAGGTATTGAAAGAACATTTCGCAAAACTAATATGGTGTGAAGAACAGGGAATCGGTTAAATTGTTTTAATGGCAGTTTGAAATTTATCCATTTTAACATTTACGCCATACAACTTTTCTTTCTATAGTAATTTTTTTTTTTTTTATCTTCCATGTTTAGCAATGTTTATTGTTTAATTTTTATTTATTGAGTAATATAACATTCTGTCACACGGACAATTATTATAGTGATGCAAGAAGACATTCACACTACATATACAGAATACATAAAATTAAGAAAAACACAATAACAAGTAAATATTAATAAAAAAATGTATATAATAAAAAATTATAGTTAATTAAAAACATAAAAAACACACTCAGATCTATGTACAATATTTACAATCAGGCAGCGAACCCTAAGCCAGTCTTGTCCCACCAACTATAGAGCGAAAAACAGGACTCCAAGAGATGCATACGCTACTCTCTCAACTGCGACACTGGTCCTAAAGCCAGTAGAGATTGAGCGAGAATGCTTAAATTTAAAAAAAAACATGATTTTAATTGTATCTGTAAACAATTCCAGCTTTAGAGAATGTTTCTAGTTGTGTTTCCTACTCTTGGAAATTTTTTCCTGAAATACTGAAGTATTGAATAGTCTATTGTTTTTGAAAAAGTTATACAAACAAAACATGCATTTGTATTTAAATCATGTCCTTACTTATATGTTCCAGTTCTTTGAGATATAGTTGAAAGCTGATATTTTTATGTTATTTTTGAACCTAGTAACAATTACAAATTATTAAAAAGAAACAACAATTGAAAAATAATGTATCAGGATGTAGAAATCCATCTGGTAATTTGCCTTAATCTTTCCCTTTTATAGGCACCATATTACTTTATAAAATCTCATTTTTTTATGCCTCTTTAGAATATTTTTATAAAAAATTTTTCTTGCCAATTTTTTTTTTCAGAGGATGTAAAAAGTGATGACAGCATGTATTTAAAAGAAGAAAATGAATCATTCCAAAATGGTGAGTCAATCTATTTTTTTTATTTTATCAATTTTATTTATAAAATTTAATATCATTTTTTACATCAAATTATTTTTTATTAAAAGATAATATTGTTTCTTAAATCTTGTAAATTGTAATCACAACTAATTACTGTTGGGAAAGGGAAGAGGTGGTTGGTGTTTAGGAAAACTATTCATAGTTAATATTCAATAAATACATACGACTTTTTTTTTTTTTTTTTCTTTTTTAGGAAAATAACTTTATTCTGGGACACAGTCCCTTGAGAATAACAAATTAGAACAAAATTAAAATATTACATCTGGCCAAAACAAAATAAATCGAAAAAAAGAAATAATGTAAAAAAAATATAAGGTAAAAACTCTATATACAAAACAAACTAAACTATATACAAAACCATTAATACTATGACAAGAAACTTAAAGCTATTTAGACCAGTATACACTTTTCCGAAAAAAATAAAGAATTAAAAAATAAAAATATATCAAATTCTCTATTAAAATCCGCTCGAATGGTTAGCAAGTATCTGACTGTTTTTGTGATAGGAATTGGAATAGGAGGGATTTGAATGTGGATATGGAGGGGGAATGTCGAATTTTTATAGGGAGGGAATTCCAGAAATTGACAGAGCGAACAATAAAGGAATTTTGGAATGAGGCAGATCTGTGAGAAGGCATGTAAAGGTCAGAAGGTCGAGATCTTGTGGACAGGGAATGGACTGAGGATTTGAACTGGAGAAGGTTGTAGGCGTAAGAAGGACGATGGTTGTTGATGATTTGGTAGAGGAACGTACCTAGAAAGTATTGTCTTCGGAAGGAGGGGTAGAGCCACCTTAACTCAGTGTAGTGGTGAGAGACATGGGAGTACCTCGGGGCACCAATAACAAATCTTACGCAGCTATTCATTAATCTTTTCAGTCTATCACGGAGCTCCACCGAGAGGCCATCATACACCACACAGCTGTAGTCAAAGTGGGGGAAGATGAGAGAGGAAATTAGGAGTCTACGGATATGTTGAGGTAGGAGATGGCGGAAGCGATGAAATAGTTTAAGGGTAGAGATTGTCCGACGGGAAATGTGAGAAATATGGTTGGTCCAGGAGAGGGTTTGATCTATGAAAAATCCTAAATTTTTAACAGAGGAGTAGAAGGAAATTGGCTGGTCATTAAGGTGTAATATGGGAAAGTCAGTATGGGAACTAATGAGGGGCTTGGAACCAATGACGATGGCCTGAGTTTTGGCAGCATTCAACTTTAATCCATTTACATTTGCCCAGGCATTGATTCGATCAAGATCTTCTTGAATCTTGGCAAATGCCCCCAGTAACTCAGAGGGAGAAAAGGATAGGTAGATCTGGGAATCATCTGCATAAAGGTGATGGGAACAATGGAGAATTGATTTAGGTAGGTCGTTAATGTAGGAGCTGAAAAGGAGAGGAGATATGCTTGAACCCTGGGCAACTCCAGAGGATAAAGAAAGGAAAGCAGATAGTGGTTGGGTGGGTATGGAGACTGCTTGGGTGCGTTGGGAGAGGAAAGATTGGAACCAAGAGATGGAACTATTGGAGAAAGATAATGATTTTAGTTTGTTGAAGAGGATGGAATGGTTGATGGAATCGAAAGCTTTGGAGAAGTCTAGAAGAATAAGGACAGTTAATTTTCTATCATCTATTGCAGATTGAATGTCGTTGGTAATTTTAATTAAGGCAGATTGTGTGGAATAGCCGGGACGGAAACCAGATTGGAGAGGATCAAATTGGTTGGAATTTTCGAGGAACTTGGAGACTTGGGATTGCACCAGTCTTTCAAGAGGCTTTGAGAGGTTAGAAAGAATTGAAATTGGACGGAAATCTTCAGGTGAGGATGGATTAGGCTTTTTATTTAAAGGAAGGACAATGGCTTTTTTCCAAGAGGTAGGGAATACTGAATTCTGAAGGGAAAAATTGTATATAAAAAGGAGAGCTGGGAGGATTTCAGGTAGACATATTTTTATTAATTTGACAGGAATGCCGTCTGGCCCTATGGAATTGGTGTGGGATTTCATTAACGCGGTTAACAAGTCTGTGGGAGAAATGTCGGAAAAATAAAAGTTATTGTCGTTAAAGGATATCTCTGGAGCAAAGCCAGAAGAGGAAGGTAGAGAAGAGGTATTAGCGACAGATATAAAATAAGAGTTTAAATCATCGGAGGATACAGGATAGGCTGCGGTAGGGGATCTGGAAGGATTACCAATGGAAAGTTTACGAAGCAGTAGCCATTTCAATTTGATATCAGGAGCTGAGGAAAGGGTTTCATGGAAGTAAGAAGTTTTCGCACGCCGGATCCTTGTCTGTGCCAAGTTGCGAAGCACCCTGAACGCTTGGTAGTCATCTGCAAGCCTCGTACGTCTAAAACGTCTTCGGGCAGCGTCGCGCCTCTTCTGCAGATCTTTGATTTCCTGACACATCCAAGGAGCAGGCCGGTGACGAAAGGTAGAGGTTTTGAGGGGAGCATGGGTATTGAGAAGATTGGTGGTAAGAATGTCAACCATGGAGTCGATGGAAGAGCAAGAATATATTCCATTCCAGTCTAGGGTTTCTAGGTCAGGTAATATTTTTTCTCGAGGAAGGGAATCTAGGTGACGGAAGGTGATAGTTCGAGGCTGGATTGAAGGAGTTTGGATATTATATGTTATTTGTATAAGATCGTGAGATGATAAGAATGATACTGGCAATTGAGAAGAGGAGAGGAGATTTTGTACAGAGTCTATAATGTAGAAGTCTAGCCAAGTGTCTGACCTGCTGGTGTGGTGGGTGGGGGAAAATGGAACTATGGAGAGGTGCAGAGAGAAAATTAGGTTTTCTAGATAGGATTTGTCATTGGAGTTAGAGAGGAAATTTATCACAGTACTTTAATAGGTTTAAAAATAATGTTTGTTTTTTTAAGATTTCTGTTATTTTTGTTTGTTTTGTTACTTGGAGGTCCTTCCTTGCTATTCTCTTAGATGTTGTAAAAAGAAGGTACTTCTTTAATAGCTGGTCAGGTCGAAACCTTCCTAGTTATGTAATCTTATATAACATAACCTTTCTTCTTGTCTCGTCTAACTTAATTTATTCCATTGTTTATTTTTTGTGCCTCGTGTAAGCTGTGAATTTGTGTTATTTTCGTAAAATTATGGATGTTACATTATTCGAATTGCCGTCTTCAGAAGAAGAGGCTGACAATTATTTTAAAGACACCGGGATAATTGCAAAGGTGAAATATTGTGATGAACGTCATGATATGAAGTTGAATGGGAAGAAGAAATGGAGATGCTTTCATACTTGTAACAAAAACGTTTCTTTAAGGAAAGGAACGTGGTTAGAGGGGTCGAAGATTCCTTTTTTAACGGCTTTAAAACTCATTTATGGGTGGTCCCATAATCTAACAACAATACAGTGGGTGAAAGAGCAGCTGGAACTATCCCAGCCGACTATGGTAATGTGGAACAAATTTTTAAGAGAGATTTGTGCACATAACATGTTATACAAGTATAAAGGTCTAGTAAAAAAATTGGAGGGCCTGGCAAAGTCTTTGAAGTAGAAGAGAGTCTTTTTTCCAAAAAGAAAAATCATGTAGGGAGAATTCCACCTGAGCAATGGATGTTTGGCGGAGTTAGCCAAGAAACAGACCTGTGTTTTATCGTCAAACTAAACAACAGAAAGACAACAACTTTATTAGAAGCTATTAAAAACAATATACAAGAGGAAAGCACTATATATTCTGACTGTTGGAAAGGATACAACACCAAACAACTCAATAAAGCAAAGTATAATTATTTCAAGGTGACAGCAGTCGTGCATATGTTGTTTAATTGTTTTTTATTATTTCATTTATTTTTGTCTATTTTTTGTCTATTTTTATTATTTCGTTTATTTTTATATATATATGTTGTAATGTTTTCATAATGTTTTGTTCTATTTAATATATATCTTGTAAAATAAAAGTATTTTTTTTATTATTACATTAGTTTTCGTTTTTGTTTACAATTTCAACAAATATGAACATAATACAATCAATATGAATATGAAGATATTATCAGTGCCTTATCAGAATTATCAGTGTTAAGGATATAAACATTGGCATATAGCCGTCGGACCCAACCGGCTATTTAAGAAGTATCAAGAAGAATTGGTTGTCTTGGCATATTGTTCGCTGTTGCCCATTGAGTACTGGTAATTTGGTTTGTATTAAAACAAAGTTTGTTTTTTTTAAATATAACTAACTATTAGTTAAATTGTTTATTACTTTTACTGCTATGACTACCATAGCTGATCATTTTGGTTTTAGCCTTTTTTCCTGACCATTAATACTAATCCAAGTACATACATTATTTAATTTTTTCTTATTAACATTTTATATGTCCAGGAGTACAAGCCTGTTATGTTTGGATACCTGAAAGCTGCGGACAGGATGTGCTTGAAGAACTGGAATCACCCATAAAAGGTTGGTATTGAAGTTTTATTTGAGTTAATGAAAAAATGGTACAATTATAAAATGTACGTTAGAGAATATTTCTATTTATTATTTAATTTTTGCTGGGAATAAATTAAAAATTATACAATAATTATTCAAATCTATATTAGCTACTAACAACTCCTCCTTAACTACTTACTTTCTTGATTCTTTACTTATCATTTAAAAGTACTGTAAATAAACATTTACTTCAGGAAACTGGCAAAAATTATTATATTGCCATGCTGATTTGCTGGTTTAGTATTAATTTTTCCTTTCAATTCTCAGAATTTATTTTATGCATTCATTTAAGTCATTTAATATTGTAATTAATTAATTTTCATTTCTTTTTTAGGTCCATGTAAATCAAAAGAATTCATATGCTTTCACTGTGCTGAAACATTTGACAAACGCCTAATAATAGTTGATCATATCAAATTAATACATGCAGAACATTTGGCGAAACCTTCAGAACAGGCCATTATAAGTTACAAATGTTTACATTGTGAATGCACCTTCGTAAGTTATCAAATATTGAAGGAACATCTTCAAAAAAATCATCAAAAGAAGAAAGTTCGAAATAAAAAGAAGCGTTTTCATTGCACTGTTTGTGAATATAAAACATCGGACTCGTCAAACTTAAGAAGGCATATCAAATTGTTGCACAAAGGAGATAAGCCATTCCAATGTACCTACTGTGAGTATAGAAGTGTTTTGTCAGGTACTCTCCAAAAGCATATAATGTCAAAGCATACAAACGAAAGGCCATTTCCTTGCTCTCTGTGTGAATATAGAACTATTACAGCAAGCCATTTAAAAACTCACATAATGTCAACCCATTCTGAGGAAAAGCCGTTCGAATGTAACCACTGCGAATATCGTACTGCAATTTCAGGACATTTAAAAAGACATATTTTAGCAAGGCATTCATCTGAAAAATCCCATCAGTGTGTGCAATGTGATTATAAAACAGGATATTTTGCAAACTTAAAGCAGCATATAATGGCTCACCACTACGACTCAAAGCCTTATAAGTGCCAACAATGTAGTTACAGTACTGCCCTTTCGAGCAACTTGCATTGCCATGTAAGGGCTAGGCATACTGATTTAAGGCCTTATCAGTGTACACTGTGCGAGTTTAAAACAGCGCGCTCGGGCAGTTTAAAAACTCACATGATGGCGCATAACAATGTGAAACCTTATAAATGCGCAATCTGTAGTTTTGCTACAATACATTCATCACATTTAAAAAGACATATGAAATCGAAACATTCCAGCGAAGCATCTGATGATGTTGGATGAACTTTGTTTTTACCTTTATCTTTTATTTAAAGTAATTTATCTGTATTATTAGGGTTCGAATAATTTCTAGTTGAAAATTGATCTGTGAAAGTAGGGAATTCAACCCAATCAGTGCAGTTATTTAATTCTTCAATTAATCGTTTTAGAGAAGAGTTTCAAATTGAAATGAAACTTATAAAATTTTAAACAGTAGATGAAACAATCGAAAAGAAATGCCAGTTAACTTATTATTTTTGCTAATAATAGACATTTTTTTTACCTTGCTTTGGGTCCTTAGTATCTGTCAGAGACAAAAATATCGAGCATCAAGTCTGAAAATTATTTATAATCTCGAATTCTTTGTTTATAAGGTATCTACCAATACACAAACATGGTACAGTTTATCAGGGCTTGCCCTATCGAATTCTTGGGCCATGTAACACCGATGTCAGATTATAGAATGCGATGTAGATGATGATCGGTGTGGTAATCAGGAAGAAAAGAGTTGGGCACCTGTTAGAACTGGGTCTAGCGAGGTGGGAAGAAATACCCAGAGGCTGAGAAGAATGGAGAAGGGTTATCAAAGAAGCCAAGACCCACTTAGGACTGTATGGTAAGATACTTTTTATTCTTACTAAGTAAGATACTTAGAAGATACAAAGGGTTGCTTCTAAAACATCAGGATATGAATGAGAATAGAATATCAGATCTTGAGGTAGACCCATGCTCAATTACGAAACTATTTATCTAGATTGGGTCTAACAAGAGGAAAGCGTATTCAAAAAATAAGAAAACATTTGCTATGAACAGTGAGAAGATAGAGAACCTATGTTGATATAGCTTCGCCCATAAAGGTATGAAGAGAGGTATTCTATTCAAAATTTGTTCATCTAGGAAGTACACACAACTCTGTGTTTTATATATTTTTATTTATTCATTTTCTCATATAAGTCTTGATATAATCAAGATTTTAATAAGTCTATATTTCAAAAAGATTCTCAATTAATTGTATTATAAGTTTTTATAATAATTAATGTTAAGGGTTAAAATTTATATTTATTCGAAAGTTATAATTTTAAGTATAGAGAGTATATGTGCTATTCCTGGATCTGCTTACTTTATTTCAAAACAATTGATAGAAATATTCTTAAAGTAAGATTTATAATGAACTATAAATTTATACTGGTTATCAATTAGATTGGATTATAAATGTATTCAAAATATAAATAGCAGATTTAATTGAACCATCATGTTAGTCTTCAGTATGGTGGAAAAAGATAAATTGAAAAAGAAAGAGACCTAAATCTAAGCCAATCAATAATGGACTGAAGTGGGTTAAAACATATAAGAAATAATAATAAAAAAATTATATGTTTGTTCTGTTTTTTACTCACCTTGACTAATGATATTTTGAGTATTTTATATTATATTTTTTAATAACAGTAGACCTACCATTCTGTTACACAATTCAATAATTAAGAACTTTCTAAGCTCTTGGAAGTATTTTTAAGCAAAGAATGAGGAAGACTCAGAATATTCCGAGTTATATTTCAGGAAAGAAGGACTTCTTGTATTCCTCTGATTTAAACCTGTTCAACCTATTCAGATATGGATTCAGGTCCAGACCTGAAGAAGCACCCGCCATTTTAGGAAATTATAAAAAACCAAAAAGTGTAAGAGATAATTTAATTTTATTATTACTTTCTCTTATATACATATAGAATATATCTGTACTCGGGAGGTAAATAACTCCATGTATATTTTTGTAGTTGTTCAGGATATCCAAGGTTCCACAACTTTGAGCTGTTAAAATTTGTTTCTTAGTTACTAAATATGGACTCCGGAGGTAATAGACATCATGTCAGATTTTTGTATTTGTTCAGGGAGATAATTTTGCATACATTTGAGCTATTAAAATTTGTCTCTTATTACAAAATTATTTAATAAAAATAGATTGTTCACATACATACACACCTAGACCATTTTGTGAGACTTGATTATTTGGATTCAAGAGACCTCAAAACGTGTATTTCTGTTTAAAATTCGTATTCGAAATGTCTCAATATAGCAATACTTTCCCTTACTATATCTGTGCCCCAGAGGTGAACGACACGTCCATTGTTTATTAAATAATTTTGTAACTTAAAAACAAATATTAATTTCTCAAAGTTATAGAAAATTAACTCTCCTTAAAAATACAAAAATGTGACATGGTGTTTTTTATCTTCATAGTAAATAAGAAACAAATTGTAATAGCTCAAACTTACGGAAAATTGGCTCCCCTGAACTCCTAGTGTTGTATCTCAGTGGTACAGATATATTTCATATATAGGTAAATGAAAATGAAAATGGACATGGTGTCCTTTAACTCTGGGGTACAGCTATGAAATATATAGGAAAGGGAAGTATTGTGATCGTAAAAATAACTACTAATATATATAAATATAATCTATACTATGTTTACTAATATTAACTCATTTTTTCATTGTTTTCATTTTTATTTTATTTATTTATTAGTTATACATATTCCTGGCTCACAATAAATTTGCCATATACCTAGGTATTCAACAAATATGATATCAAGGAGAAAAAAAGGTAGCATAAAAAAAAAAAAAAAATAATAATAACAATACAAAAAGACAAAAAAAAAAAAAACAGTAGTAAAATAACACATAACACACACACACAAAAAAAAAAAAATGCAGCAAGTAGCTCAATGCAATAAGTCTCTTGGCCATCGCCTCAGCAGTCTTCTGGGCGGATTATATGGATTTGTGGCAGTAGATAGAGCTGAGTAAGTGGATTGGAACTTAGAGTCAGTCTGTCATGAAAATTATTAAAGCGGTCAGTGGAAGTTGCCGTGATTAAAGGAGTGTTAAGGTCACTATGTAACGTGAGGTTTAAACATAAAAGGGTGCGTCTACAATTTTCCAAAGGACTTTTGATTGGAATGACTGGATGATTTTTATATTTGAATTCTTTGCTGTTCCCCATAGTTTGATCCCATATGTCCAAAGTGGTTTAATGAGGACTTTGTAAATAGTTAATTTTTTATTTACAGATAATTTAGAACGTCTGTCAAGAAGCCTAGAAAAAAGTCCGTATCGCTGATTAAGTTCTTTTGTTTTTTGTTTATGTGGCATATCAGTCGTTTGTCCAAGTGGAGACCCAAATATCGTACAGTTTTTGAAGGTGGTATAGCAATATTATTAAAGAACACTGGAGGACTAGAGTCATGTTTAAGTGTAAATGAAACAAATTGGCTCTTAGACTCGTTCATTTTTATTCTCCACCTTTTAGCCCAACAAGCTATGTCGTCTAGGTCTTTTTGAAGTACCTTAGAAGCCTTAGCTGCATCCTTGTTAGATGTTAATATTGCCGAATCATCAGCAAATGTAGCCAACATTTGTTTTCATGGCAGATTTTTAGGAAAAAGCTTAAAATTTTTCCAAAAGTACACTTTTACATTTTATTAATTTAAACATTTTTTTAATTTGTTTTGTCAACAAACAATTATTTTATAACATTCGCAAATTGCCTTTAATCTATATTTTCTTTAATATTTTGAACCCAACCATCGTTTCGTGTATGTTAGTCAATTGTTTCAAATTTATATGTCATACTGTCTATAATTTTTACTTTTCTTCTTCTTCGATAGCTCTACTGCCGGGGGTGGGCCTTAGCTTCCTGAACAACAGCTCTCCAGATGTCCCTGTCCTTAGCCTTTTCCCTGCAGTTTGTAACTCTTAACCGCCTGATGTCGTCCTCCAACTACGTTCTTCTCGGCCTTCCCCTTCCTCTGACACCATAAATTCTTACTTAGAGCATCTTTTTTGGGATTCTCTCATCTGGCATTCTAAGAACGTGCCATTCGATCAGCCGTGATTATATAAAGCTCACAATTTCACTATGATTAAATAAATCATATAGCTCCTTATTGGTTCTAATCCTCCATGTTTGAGTTTTTTTATCGTACAAGGGACCAAATATTTTCTCAGGATCTTCTTCTCAAAGACCCTTAACGAATTTGCCATGGTGGCAGTAATTGTCTATGTGTCTGCCGTGTAAATTAGTGTGGGTCTTATTAAGGTAGTGTATAGCCTTATTTTCGTTTTCTTTGATATCAATGATTATTTAAAAAGCTTTAAATTCGCGAAATATGTACGGTTAGGGGCCATTATTCTTCTGTGCACCTCAGTCATAATTCTGTTTTCATTATTTATTTCTGCCCCCAGATAGGTAAAGATATTGATGTTTTCGAAAACGTGTCCTTCCACCACAAGGTCGTGGAATTTTATGAATTTTCTGAAGCAATGGACATATACTTTGTTTTTAAATAATTTATTTCAAGACCCATAATTTTACTTTCATTATAGATAATATTAAAAATTTTAGTAAGGGTTTGAATACTTCTGGCAACAAAAGCTGTGTCACCTGCATATGCACAGATTTGAATGCTTGAATGAAATATATTTTCTTGCGTATTTATGCTATTGACTACCTCATGTAACGCTAGGTTGATGAGAGTGGCGGACAGAGCATCTCCCTGCCTTACACCAGCTGAAATTGTATATGTATTACTTACACTACCATTGCCAATAACTTTGGCATTGCTATTGCTTAGAGTCATCTGGATCAATCTTATCATCTTTTTCGGAATGTTGAATTCTATTAGTGCTTTAATCAAGTTGGTTCTATTAATGCTGTTGGAGGCTTGGCGATATTCAATGAAAAAAACATGAATAGTATTTTTGTACTCTCAACACTTTTCTAATATTTGTATCATTGCAAAAATTTGAAAGACTGTTCCTTTTCCTTTACGGAACCCACACTTATATTCTTCTAGAATGTGTTCAGTGTAGACATTTAGTTCCTTCAGGATAATATTTGAGAACATTTTGTATGCTACCTCCAAGAGAGATGTTCCTCTGTAATTTCTGCATTGAAATTTATCTCCTTTTTTAAAGATGGGACAAAGCAAACTAGTCCCCCACTCTTGAGGAATGCTTTCATTTATCTATATGTCCAAGACCAAATTATATACATGTGTGAGCATATTCTCGCTACTACTTTTAAAGAATTCGGCTATTAATAAATCTTCACCTGATTCTTTGTAATTTTTTAGCTTTTGTATCACTTCGGGTACGTCTTCTATATCAGATGGTTCAATGTCAGTGTCGTTCGGAATCAATATTCCAGCATTGCTTTCTTAATTTCATTCTTATCCAATAACTCACCAAAATGCTTGGCCCATCTGTCTATGATTATACTTTTCTCTTCAGTTAAACACTTTTGGTTGAAAGCTGCATTTTATGTGTCTTATAGTTGCATACAATTTCCTTGTTTCATTATTGGTATGTCATTTTTCAATTTCTTCAACTTTCTTTCTCATGTACATTCTTTTCTTTGTAAGTATAAGTTTTTAGTTTTTCTACGGCTTGTCTGATATTCAGTCACACTTTGTCTAGTATAACGTTGCATCATCTCTAATCGGTAGTCCTTTCTTTTCTTTAATGCTTCCAAACATTCATCATCAAACCACTCTTCTCTTATACTCCTATCCTCCAAACCAAATAACTCCTCTGCCGATTTCATCATTACGGTTTTTGTTCTATGCTATGTCTTTTCTACTACGTCATCTTCCTCTGCATCCTCTTTCAGTTTTGCTTCCATATTTTTATCCATTGATTCTTTTAAATCTGCAACTTTACTTGGATCTTTTAGTGTCTTCAAGTTCTACTGTTTCCTTTTACTTTTACTTTTCTACATGTGAAAATACCTGTTTCTACTTAAAGTAGAATGGTAAATGAAATATGTGTTATGTGCTCACTGCACCTGATATTTTAATGAAGTAACTGAATTAGAGATATTTTGAATAAAATACAACAAATATTTAAAATAATATACAACATTTTAAGTACTTAATTTTTTTAATGGGCCGCTTTAATTAAAAAATATATATAATTAAATTTCTTTAAAAAATATATATATATTAATAATTAATACTATAATATATTAATTATTAAGTTTCTTTTAAAGTTGCCATTGAGAAGGTTTACAGTTGGAATTAGATAAGGAATAATAAAAAACATTGCACTGTGAATTATAAATTATTATTCAAAAAAGTTATTTTGTGGGAAGAAATATTTATATATAATAGTCTAGATCTGGTGTTGAAGCAGTACATGGAGTAATGAAATATAAGGAGATTGTAAATATAAAGATATTTTTTAATTAATAATTTAAGAAAAATAAATAAAAAAATAGAAGATGTAAAAATCAACTGGTTTAAAATTATTTAAAGAAAAATCTATTATTCTAGAATAGTTCTGCCAATCCCTAGTTGGTTTGATGACCCACTGCATAAATATTTAATGACTGATTCAAGAGAAGATTGATTTAACCATATGTTTTTTAACTATCCGTTTACAAACGTATAACTATTTTTTTATCAAATTTGCTAGTTATTTAGAATGGATATTGAAAACTTCTCACACCCTAAGCTATTATAGGAAAGATTCTCCATAAAAATATTTTTGTGCTCCACTAAATAGAAATATATGTTCACCAAAATCCATCAAATCATCTGGAATTATTTCTTTCTCATTTTCTGGGCTTAGTGACTAAATCATCCAGACTGTATTTCTTGTCGGTAAGTGAGTACCAAACTATATGTAGATGTAGATTGAATTTTCCTGTAATAAAATTTCTTAATTTTTTAAAAAAATATTTTCTCAATAAACATATCTAGGCCAAAAGATTTTTTTTTTAAATTCCAAATTATATTTCTGTTAATTTTTGCTTTCATTTATTTTTTCTTTCACTTACCAATATATGAAATATATAGTAAAATAAAGTATTGTGATTGTGAAAATTTTTTATCTCAGTTTTCAATGGAAATACATTTGAGTTTCCCTGCTTATTTAAACAGACTAATTTAAGTCTTACTGCTTATTTAAAGTTTTTATATGCTAGGGATGTTACAGCAACTTTTTCGCCAAAATCAACTAATCGGAAGTGGCACTTTATATCCTGGACTAAACACATTTTTACAATTTTCTCGAAAACGAGTCTAACGAATTTGATTAAATTCATTATATCAGTGTAAAATTAAGCAGTTTTAAATAAAATGTAGTTTTTATTCTGATTGATGTTCTCTATCAGGACTTAAATGGCTAATTTTCAATATTAGCTTCCCCTAAAGTACCTTTATGTTTTTTTATTTGAAATAATTAGCTATTTCACATTAATCTTTCATATAAAAAAGAGTTAAATATAAAATATGAATGAATTTGATAATTAACTAAAGGAGAAATAAGAGATCGTAACGGATAATAGTTGTAATAGAGGAATCAAAGGAATACGAACTTGCCTGAAAGATTACAACAGGCTTCCATACCTAACATGAGCTTCATATAATACAGACTCTAACAAAATTATGTTCATATACATATGCAATTTCCATAAATAATAACGTTGGTATTATTTAATATTTAATTGTATACAGCGATACATAAATTTTGTATAAATAAGGATATTTAAACAAACAAAAATACCCACAATCAATTGTAAATAAGTAAAGCATCAATAATTTTTACTTTCACTTCCCCTTTGTCTAAAAGTACTTATTTCTGATGAAAAAGAAGGTGGTAAGTGAAAGTCGTGTGATGGGCGCACCAGATTTTTTTATATAAAGTGAAAAAGTAATATTTTATTTTATTTATTTATTAAACATTATGGTGTCATGTACAGCTACATTAGGCTAGAGGCACCATTTCTTTGTTACATTTACAATTCTTTAAAAACTTTGAGAAAAAGTAATATAATATTACAATTTATGATTCTTAACGATTAATTTCTACCTTTAAAATTTACTGGGAAAAAATACAAGTAGAACATTGAACATCTATTTGTAATTATCTCTCTTATTAATATTGGAATTAAGGAGCCAACCAAACCTGGATTAGAACTTCATTATCTCTATTAACAACCAAGAAAATTAAATTAGTTCTCAAAATATTTGTTTTAATTAAAAATACCAAAATGTTTCTTTTCATATTATCCAAGGGACTCCCAGGAAAGCCATAAGCCATAAGCCTTTAAATATATTTTAAATTTATTTTACCACCTACCTGACCTCTCCTGTGGCATGCAGAGGGAGAAAAGGGTTATTCTACAAGTATAACCAGAAGGTCGAGATTTATTCCATGAGTCTACGTCAAAATAAATTTTGACCCATCTGGGATTTGAACACGGTGTCGCTAGATCCGAGGTTGTTAAGGTTATTATGCCTTAAAACTCTAGACCATTACTTCATCATATTTACATTGTTCAATCACTTTTATCAAACTTGTACATATTTAATGATCAAAATACCTTGTTTATCAAAATCCATCAATCCTGAGACCCAGAAAAGGGATCTTTACAATTCGGTTATATGTATATATTAAATCATTACATAAAAATATTGTTTCCATTTGTTTAATGTTAATTTCTTTGAAAGGTTCATTACATGCTTTAAAAAAATTATTTTGAAGATGATAAATAATCAGTATTTGCATTCTAGATTTATTTTATTCAGCTTGCCGACTTTTTTACTCAAGTATATGTCAGCATCATTCGCCAATAGTGAACTCAACAGCATTTATTGATACTAGACTGATCAGTAACCATTGCCCAGATGACCCCATGTTTGGGTCGAAATGTCGGCAAGCTGAATAAAACAAATCCTGATTATTTATCATTCTCATTATTTAAAAATAAAAGTCAATATAAATATTCATCTCTAAAAATTATTTTAAAAATATGAAATCATCATTTCTGTTACGGTTCTAAAAGTGTGAGGAATATCAGGATTATAAAAAAAAAACAAGTTACATGCAAATATTTATTTATTAATAGGGAAAAACCAGTCCAGCATTGTGTCATTACCATGTTGACATATCATTAAAATAGTTATAATTAAACAGATTAAGTTAAATAAGTATATTAATAAAATAAAATAAATTCAAGAAACCCTTTCGAACCTGAATCTGGCACTTTCTATCTAGAAGTCAGTGCCCTCAGGATCGGTTTGTGGTGGGAAAGTGGGATCATCATTATGTTTGGAGATCTTCTTCATTGCTTCTAACTTTACCTGTTCAAGTTCTCCTATTATTGCAGAGATTGTTTCTTTAAAAAATCCTTCCATCAATTTTTTTTCTTTTAAAACTGGCTTTTTATGAATTGATGGGATGCTTTCTTCTCCAACATTCATCTGGTTTTGAATTAATGCTTCCCTGAAGATGCGACCGCTGGGCCTTGTTACTTCTTTGTTCATTGAGGCCTTAGCCAATGTTGGTGCGTCTCTCACTATTCTAGGTGGATTAGTAGTGCTCAAATTTTGGTCCAAAGTTGATTGTTCTGTGTTATCTTCACCCTTGGGAGTTGTTACCTCTTGCATCAGATTCTCCTTTTGTGTAGTTGTTGTAGCTTCTCTAATGAGTCTATGAATGGATGAAATGGTAGTGTCCTGTTTGATATTCAACTCTGAAGTAGTTGAATGTTCTTTGCCATCTCCAAGAGTTGCTACGTTTTTCACTTCAGTCGTCTGCTCAACAGGTGTTGATAATGCTCTGAGGACTCTGTAAATATTTTTTATGGTAGTCTTCTCTTTTTCGCTCAATCCCAATCCTTTAGATGCTTTTCTGGGAACTCTACTAGAGGCAGTTGTCGATTCCGATAACAATGTTGTCTGTGAGAGAGGTGTAGAGGCTTCTTTTTCAACTTGATCAGTTGAAGTTGTTACTTCTTGTGATTCTGGGAATGGTGTTAGTGCTTCTCTGACAGATCTACCACTTGGAGTTGACAGTTCTTCCGCTGGTGTTGTCTGTGGAATAGTTGCTTCTTCAATTACTGAGCCAGTGAAATTTTGTAATAGTGTTGTCTGTGAGAAAGGTGTTGATGATTTTCTGACAACTGTAGTCATAGATGAGGTGGTAGTTTCTGAATCTGTTGTGTGATCTCTTTTAACTCGAGCACTTAATCCGTTTACTTCTGACAATGTAGTCATCTGTGAGGAAGATATTTGTTTGACTATCTCATTACCATTTTGGGCATTGTTTTTAACATCAACGCTCATTGCTGAATCTGAAATTGAAGGTTCTCTTCTTAATTGACCACTTAGTGTTGGTATATCCATCTGTGGAGGAAATGCAAGTGGTATTCTACGATTTCTGGCAACATATATAGTAATGTTTATCTTGTGATTTGGAACTGACATTTCTATCACAACTTTGCCAGTCGATGCTATTTCTTTTTTTACCAAATATTTCTTCAGTGGAGATGCAAATGGATCCTTGACAATTCTACCAGTTGTTACAGGGCATGCTTCCCGTAGTTCATTTACAGTTGCTGTTAGAAAAACAATCAAAAAAGCCAGATTGAGGGTTGCCATTAGTAGAAAAACAGCAAGCCATTTTGTATTTTCCATCCTGAAAAACAAAATTAAAACAAATAATTTTTAATAGTATTTTTATCTATTTGGTAAATTAATAATTTCCTAGTCATATCTTTTAGGTTTGGTGCCATTTTTAAAAAGTTTTTTATGAAATATTAGGCCAAAGGTCACCAATTGTACACAGTTTTTGCATCATGTATTATTTATTCGACCTTTCAGCTACAGGAGGCATTTTCAAGATCCTGTAAACTAGTTTTAATTCAGTTGTTATACTTCAAACTACAGCATTATAAAACATATATTAATTCAATAACAATCAGTTATATAAATAGTCCAAATTCTATTATAAATTTTTTTTATAACATAGCATTTTGGTTAAAATTAATATAAAATTTTTCATCTACCTACCATGCACTGCTTGCTAAAATTTCTTAAAATTTATCATTATAATATAATTTATTGGTTTGTCATTCTTTTATTTCATCGAATGTCATTTTTTCACTTCTAAAAGTTATAATAAATAATTAAAACAGAATGTTAGAATTTTTAAGAAAAGAATATTATTTGTTCTAAATTTATGTACCTCTTTTGTAGACGATATTATAAATTTTCTTCCTTACTAACGCATTTATACAGGACTGGATTTATTTTAAAAAGGAGTAGAGTGGAGGGCTTAGAGATCCGCTGTTTTATCTGTTATATTTCAGTATATTATATTTTAATTTTATCTATTGCCCTAGGATAAAAAGTGTTTAGATTATCTACATCTATTTGTTGATTTACCAATTGTTTAAGGTTTTTAGTAATAAATATTGATTCTATTATTCTTCGTTTGTTAATATTCTGTTCTCTATGTAGGACCGACGCTGTACAGAAATCAAATTTATGTCCATTTTTTGTGGTATGCTGCGATAATCCTGTGGCTAATTTTGATTATGTTGTTTTAGACCATTGTGAGGTTTGTCCGTAATATGCTCTATTTTCACAATCCTGGCATTGTATTTTATATATAATATTAGTTAATTTTTCCTTTGGAATAATATCCTTAGCTCTACTGTATAAATTTTCTAATTTATTAATTGGTTTTTCCCAAATTTGATTTCGTTTATATCATATTTTTTTAAACTTTTTAGTTTTTTTTAGTTTGCAGGATCTTGAAAATATCTTCTGAAGCCAAAACATCGAAAAAATAATACATGATCTCCTAAATCATACAAAAAGCCATTCGCGGCCGTGATCTATTAAGCTCATCCTGTCCTAAAGAACTCATAGCGCCGATTCTGACTAATGGGGCTAAAACTTAGGCATTGACAAAGGCCGACTAATGGCTTTTGTATAGAAAGATATCCTGAATGATATATAGTTCAGTTAAATTGAGTAATGAATGGAAAGTAAGGCATAATCTTAACATGACCAATGTTTTTTTTTTTTATTTTGCCCTCTAACTAGCAATTGTAAACATACCGGAGGGAGGTTATCCTATTCTAGCCAGAAGAAAGGTCGAGATTAATTCCATTGGTAAAGGTCAACTTACATGAGGAATTTATCTAAAATATATCCAGATAGAAAGACTTGGATGGACAGACCATGTTGCACAGACAGAAGAAACCTTAACCCCAAAGAAGTTGAGCAGTATTGAACGAGATAGAAAAAAAAAATCTGGAAAGACAGAAGCTGAGATGGATAGATGGAATGAGTGTCGATGCCAGAACAGTTAAAATCAGGAACAGAAGGACGGCTATTTGTATATGCAGTACAGAGAAAAGTGGAAGACAACTCTTGAGGTAGCCAATCAGTAATGGATTCTAAAACTCAGGATGATGATGATATCTGTGAATTAAGGTTTTTCTTAAAGTAAAAATATTTCATTAATGATACTCTGAAATAATTAATTATTATTTGTTTGTAAAGCAGAAAAAATAATTAATAATGGCCACTGTTTTTCTACTCTTAATGTAAATATTATATTTAATAATGTAGTTTCTACTAATGTAAGGTATTTAAGATAGAGTACGTACTTGCAGGTATTGGATCCGCTGGCACAAAATGGACTGTGAACCTCCCTCCAAGTTAGCTGTTTATATACTCACCCTTATCAGCAACCCCCTCTACCTATGAAATTCTTAAAAAAAAAGTAGGCGAGTATCAAATATCTAGGAATAAAGGTGGGCGATTATCAAAATTCTAGTCAGCAGATATCAAATTTACATCTTATCTGAAACTTTCTCATACTTTGATATCAGTTGATGATAATTATTAGCAATATTTATCTTATCATAACTTTTTTGTAACTATGAGTATTGTTATTATTAGTCAAACATTAAAATTATTAAGATTAGACTGCCACCCGAGTAAAAATTCTTTTGCTTGGTTCTTAAAAAAACTAATACAATGCCATACAATATTTGTATTGTCTCTAATTAAAAACAAAGGCTTATTGAAGAGATTTAATTAAGAATTTTTTACTTAAGAATATAAAAAAAAAACAAGATTGTGTTATGATCAATATAAATTTTTTATTTTATCAAAACATGTAGGATCTAGTCGTCTAAAATGGCATTTTAACAAACTTGTTTCAAATTATGTTGAAAAATGCTTGAGATTTCATTATTATGTTTCTTTCTTGTATTGGGCATGTTGGAGCTTTTTAATAAGTTCCAATATTTTTAATTTAAAACTAATTCTTTATAACTATTGTACGTTCAATTTCAAAATCAGGCATTTATTTAAATTCTAACTGCAGTTATCATCATTTTCAAGCCCTCTTTTCATTTATAGTTTCTTTTTATAGTAATAGAATTTGACTTATCAAACTAAAAAAAAAATCTATAATATATATTTTAAATTTAATAATGCCTTTTGTATGAATCTGACTCTTTAATATGTTAAATTTCTACTATATTATAGCTGTATGTTCCCCAGAAAGTATTTACATTCGAAAGAATAGAAAATAAATGAAATATAGATATGTCCTTTTAAATAGAAATAATAACTCTCTTTATAAAGTACACTAATTGTATAGTATTTTTTAAAAATTTGAATAGAAAATTCCTTTGTAAGTTTTTATCATTTAATAAAACTTTACATTTCCATGTTGTATTGTATGAATACAGTTGGAAATCTTGCGCGCCCAAAAAAGACATGGGTCCTCTCGGACTAGAGTAGAATAGAATAGAAAAGAAACTTTATTCTGGGATAAAGTACCCTCAGAATAACAATGATGAACTAATAAAAAAAATATATGTATCTGGCCATAACACTAACTTAATAAAATTCTAACAATATATATATTTAGTAATTTAAATAATTAATAATTATATGCAGACAATTAAAAAAAATATAAAATCCTCTCAATAATAGTTAAAGTTGTAATTTAAGAAACAGAAACAAAAAATATACATATACATATAGATATATATGTATTATATATTAAAAAATATATATATTATACCTTGCAAGACGGGTAGGAAGGCTGAGGACAAGATGGTTGGACACCGTGGCCTATGATGCGAGAACTCTGCTTGGGGTACGGAACTGGAGTGCTGCAGCAGAAGAAAGAGCCAACTGGTGGAAGCTCTTGGAGGAGGCCCAGTCTCGGTGACGGGATGTTGCGACACATATGATGATGATACATATAGAAAAAAAAAAATAAAAACCTGGAAAAAATAACGAAAGTGAGTAAAGAAAAAGCATTGGTTTTTGATGTAATAATTTAATGAAGAATATGCGAACTTAATAAAATTCTTAAGATATATACAGTAATTTTAAAAATAATCTGTAAATACTAAAAAATAAAAACAGAATCTTCTTAAGAATATTTATATAGTTGTAATGTGAGTAAAGAGATATATATATATTTTTAGAGACTACTATAGGTCTCACAGATTCTAACGGGGCTCAGGACTTTCAGAGGGAAGTTTTTTAAACCTAGTTAAAACATCAATCCCTTATATCTCACTTGTGTTGTAACAGAAATTGCTGAGCACATCGTTGTAGCCTGCATCAACTATGAGGTACTAAGGGCCAAATCGATGAGATATATAGTGCTGTACATTATTAAAGAAAATGAGTTCGCTCAACTTAGGCCTAAACAGAACTACCCATACTTTAACAGCTTGGTTTGCAGGTGGAAAGAAGCTGTGGTCCCAACCCACTTCTCCTTAAGTAGGAGTGAAGAAACAGTTCAGGACAGAAGAAGAAGATAGCGGAAGAAAAAATGAATTGAACTATGAATGAAATTGTGTCCAAGAAAATTTACCGCAATGTAACAGATAAACTTTCAGCAGTGTTTTATGCAGGCATGTGTATCAACTCACTGCTGCAATCTTCTGTATTTTTGTAAAAGTAGAATAGAGAGGAAAAATAAAATAAAATTCAATAAATAAATAAAAAATTATATATGTATTTTAAAATCGACTAGTGCAAATGATTACTGAATTTGGGAGATGCAAGGCAAAACGTCAAAATTATATTCTAACAAAGTTAAGAAAATTTCTTAGTTTAGTTAATAGATGCATTAATTAATCATAGATCAATGAATTCACATTCATTAATTTAAATTTTAAATTAGGGATTTGAAACCTCATGGTGTTTGAAGTCAAAAGGAATATGTTGTGTTAAGAGAACTTTATAATTCATGTTATAATAATATTGAAAAGATTAATTTCAGTTTTTTGCTAAGTTTCTGGTTCAGTTTGGTATTTTGAAAAAAATTTAATTGAAATTAAAAATTAATAAATATACACTGCTTTAGCTGAAATCCATAGCAATATAAAAGTCTTGATTATAAAATCCTATTGCCTAAAACTGGTAAAACTTCAAATGGTCGAAATGAGTTGCGATTTAAAATTTTAGAATTTTTCAGAAAGTAACTAACTACTTCATTGCAATTTTGTGTAACCACCATTTATTTGTTTGATGATTTAAATATTTGAGAATGATATTCTCAAATCTTGGTTATATGGGCGTATATCTATTTTATTTGTTAGTCAATTAGAAAGTTTTTCTAAGACTTCAAATCAGCATATTTTTAAAATATTGCAAATAAGTGCAGTTTGTTCTCTATGATATCTTAATGTTAAGTAATAATGGTCATATTCCATTTCAGAAATTGTCAGACTGATGATGTGAGATTTACTGTGTTTACTCTCGATGTATGTCATCTTGGTTTTTATCTTTCTTTAAGGGATAGTGGTTGTCACTAACCAGTGATAATACTTTTCAGTGTACCTGAAGTTCTCAGTTATCCTCATCAGAGTTTTTCTCAGTTGACTATGTTTATCCTATCTTTTTATGCATACCATGAAGGCTTATTAAATTATGTATATATTAATAAGTCTTCACCTAGGAGGAGGTCGAAAGGTACCCCTTCTTCAAAATACTGGAACAGCTTCATTCACTGTAGTACTAATTAGCGATAAGCAGCAAGGTTATCTGTCAAATAGTCGCCAACTTACATTCTTGTCATCATGAGGGGTTTTTAAATCAGGTGAGAGATGCTTTCTCTAGGGTTTTAGCTTGATGTATAGACATCGGAGGAAGTGCCAAAAGAATAGAAGTTCTATAAGTTTAAATTAATTAGAAGTTAGAGATTTAAATAGGCTGTTATTCAACCATAAATACATAAAAAATGGGGCAGATTGGATTGTCAAAACTGTATTAAATTTCAACTGAAATCGCTCTAATTGTGATGATGTTAAAACTATGGAGAATTAATTTATCTTTACTAAGAACTCAAATTCAGAAAGATATATATATATAATCAATATGCAATTAAAGTTCAGAATTTTAAAACATTCACTTTTTATCCAAATTTAACTTCAGTAAATCTGAAGATGATCAGATGGGTAATTAAAATCAGGGATTAAGTTTAGAACTTAAATTATAAACACTTCAAGCAAAAAATTAATATTTGTAGCAGCGTAATACAAAGGTAAAAGAAGATATCTGTCGCTTCGTGGCTGCTTGTTCCATGTTCTCTGAATTTAGAATTAAATGGTTAAAATCTAGAAATTTATCTGGGGATCAAGTAATAGGTTTAATAAATGGAAACAATTGGATAGTATTAGTAAATTACTGCAAGTCACCTTTCTCCTACTGAATAATTCTCACCAGAGAATTTAACATTTAATAAATTGGAGAATGTTGGTACCACTTTTTTTTAAATTAAAATATTTATACAACTTTTACATTGTAAATATAATTGTTCTTATTTTCTTATTAATTCTTTACATATAAATAGATTGAAATATAATTTTGTTATGAAACATAGACTCCTCTGACCATCAACAGACCATGTAGCATGTCTGATTTTCGGTTTAAATCCAAAAATATTAGTTTTGTATTGTTTAGTAATTCATAATATGTAATTTTGATATATATATATAAAGACTTTTTCTTCTTCTTCTCTTCTCCTTCATTCACACTAGTACTATTTAGCAGCAAGGCCATCTACTGAATAGTCGCCAACTTACATTCTTGTCATCATGAGGGTTTTTTAAATCAGGATGCTTTCTCAAGGGTTTTAGCTTGATTTATAGACATTGGAGGATATACCAACCGAATAGAAGTTGGCTATTATTCAACCAAAACATAAAAAATGGGGCAGACTGGATAGCCAAAACTGTATTTCACCATTCTCCACAGCCTACAAAGTTTTTTCTTTGTTGATGAAGCAGGTTATGGAGAGAGCTGAAGAGGTGTTAGATGAGTACCAATGTGGATTCTGTACTGGAAGATCTACAATACATTATATCTTCAACATGAGAGTAATAAGTGGAATGTTAATAATAAGTGGAATAAAAGGCCATGAATGGAATGTTGATCAACATCACCTTTTTATTAACTGCAAACAAGCCTATGGCAGTACTAGAGAGAAATATAATGTATTAAAAATTAAAAGTTTTGGAATGTCCACTGATACTTTTCAGGTTTGCCAAGATTACCCTATAGGACAGCCAGAGGCAGATCTAGGGAGTGAGGGGAGAGATGCTTCTGGGCTGAAGCCTCCCCCCTCCCAAAAAAATGGTAAAATGTAACCATTTTTTATGGTAAAAAATATTTAAAAATAATTTCTTAAAGTATTATCGTTCGTGTAATTACATTTAATAGGACTTCAAGAATCACTTAAACACCATTTGATATAGGTAGTTGGGATCTTTCTTTTTTCCCAAAGTAATTATCATTAAATATATGAATAAAAAAGCTTACGGGCTGAAGTCCCCCCCCAAAAAAAAACAAAATTAAATCCTGGATCCGCTAGTGAGGACAGCAAATGTCAAAATTCAACATGAGTTTTCGAAAGAATTTGACATTCATACGAGTGTAAAACAGGGAGACACTCTTTTTCCTATACTATTCAAACCAGGAGGATGTATGTATTAGAGATTTACTCAATACCTTGTGCTTGCAGATGTATTGATTGCAGGAAAGACATCCAATGAAATTTTAGGAGCCTATTTTGAGTGTGAAGAAGCTGCAAGAAACGTAGGACTGGTTATAAAATAATAATATAAGAGAAGAAATAAACTTTATTTAATAAAGGCAAGGATAACAATTGCTAATATATGTTATACCCGTCATGCGTTGCCTGATTAAATAGAAACGAAAGGAAATAGAAAGCACATTTCACAGGCGGATCTACGAGGGGGGGCTTTCGGGCTGAAGCCCCCCAAAATGGTAAAATATAACCATGTTTTACAGAAACAAATATTAAAAACTATCTCTTAAAGTATTCTTGTTCCTGTAATTACGTTTAATAGGACTTCAGGAACCACTTAAACATCATTTCAAATAGGTAGTTAATTTCTTTCTTTTTTTTCAAATAAATTATCGTTATATGTATATGGAAAAAAATCTTTCATGCTGAAAGCCCCCCTCCCCCAAAATTAAATCCTGGATCCGCTAGTGGCACATCTAAATGTGTTTAATTTGACAATACTTTGATGATGTCAAATAAAAGTGTAAATGTTCATTTGTCAAAAACCTTAAATCTCGGAAAGTATATACTTTCTATTATAAAATGAAAGGCAATAGCACTCACTATAGGCTGTTCAAAACATTTTTCGATATCGTTCAAATGTTTCAGATTTACAATTATTAAATGTGGCATTGCGTTTGGATTTATATTCAGAAATAATATACAAGAAGATAGATGATGGGCTGTTAATATGGTCAGGGGTGCCCATCTTCCCCCAATGAAGAGATCGCGTATGCACCCCTCCCAAGAAATTTTATTGCTTTTTTCTTCTTGAAAACTGTTCAAGTGAAAGTGAAATTAGAAGAATCGTAAATCATATACAATTATACTTTTTTATTGTTATTGTTCCCTTCCTCTTCGTTTAGACTATACAGGGTTTTCCCGGACCAGGGAGTAAGGCACTAGCGGATCCAGGATCTAATTTAAGGGGGAGCTTCAACTCAAAAGCTTTTTTTTTCATAAAAATGACGATAATTACTTTGGAAAAAAAGAAAGAAACTAACTATCTATATGAAATGGTGTTTAAGTGATTCC